TATATATATATATACACACACACACACACACAAGTTGTATAAAAGTTCTATACATATATTTACTTTTATTTATATATAAACTTTTTACTACAAAGAGCCAAAAATCACACTTGTATTGTAATTTAATTCTGTAAATAATAATAAAAAAAACAAAAATATAATTATTTAATATTACACATAATTATATTAAATATTTAAACATTTATATATATAATTAGCTATATTTAATATTATATATTATAAATGAACTATTCTGTATATTTCAATGCAAAAAAAAAGGTAACAAAATAAATCAGAAATGAAGTTATGTATCAGTGGCATGTTTTTTTCCCTATTTCCCCCCTTTTGGTGAGTGGCATGGATGGCCCTGGTTTGGGCATCTCTGATTTAAACTTTAAATGACCAGCTAGTTTCAGTTTTTTTTCCATCTTGCCCGGCGCTTTGCAGAGCAGTCGCTCCATGTTTATTAGAGTGTGTTTGGATATTCAGCATCTTATCTTGTATTTATAGCTCCAATAATGCTGGATAGTGCAAAAAACCTCTGGAGATCTGTTTACATTTTTAGCTGTGATCACAGTGGGAACATCCGGCATTGAAAGGGATGAACAAAATATCTGTTTTGTGAAATCCTGTGATGACTAAATCTCTCTTTCTTGCTGTCTTGTCAGGGCTCTATCGCAAATATGTTTAGAGAAGGAAGTTTCACATCATCGAGCAAACATAGAGTGCTGTGAGTTTTGCGTGTTTGGTGTAAAACCACATTTAAACAGTTCAGATAAGCCATGTAATCTTCAGCGGAGATGGAGTTGTGTTACTAAACAGTCTCAGTCTCTCTCTCATGCTCCCCGTTTCTCTTTACGATTCTGCTACAAATCTCTAACATCAAATGGGGCTCTGCATCTCTGGCATAGCTGGCAATCAATACCAAATGTCTAATTCGCCCTGCTTTTTTTCTTCCCACTTCCTATTTTGTTGCTTGTCAAGGAACTGTATATTTATTCAAGTGCTTCCTGCTTAAATCAAAGAGGCAAAACTGGATTCCTGCAAGCCTCGGTCCATTAAAATGTAAACGAGTGGCTGGTCGGTGAAATTACAGCTCCCGTCTTCAGTCTCGCCAGCATCCAAACTAGTCTGCGTCTCTGCTTTATAGAGGACGACACACGCCACCTACAACCCCCATCATTAAGGGCTTAACTGAATGGTAACTTCAGCAATTTTGAATGTAATGAATGTACAAGCCTTCGGTACGGCGTGATGCATTATAACAGTGCAGATTACAAACAAACTCATCTGCATTCAGAAAAGTGCTGTGGAATTACCTTGTTTGTTTGGCAAGACGACTTCTAGTTGTTTGTGATTACTTGAGGACTTTTTTTTAGTCATTTTCTAGACTAGAGAGATTATACTTACAAAGAGTGGATTTCTAGCTCATCAAGAATCTTAGAGCTGAGCATAAAAAGATTCAGTGTAGAAATCTCCATGACTTTTTCCCCATGTTTTTTAAAAGGATTTATAGGTTTGCCATTGCCATGACAGTTTGTGGTGAAATACTGCTTGTAAAATAAATTGCAAAATAAACAACTAATTGCAAGTACAATTAATTGCAAATTAATAAATAAATAATTGCAGTAAGAACAAAAGTTAAAAGGTTTTGTGTCATTTTTAAATGTTTTTAAAAGAAGTCACCAAGGCTGTGTTTATTCGATCAAATATACAATAAAACATTAATATTGTAAAATATTATTAAAATTTAAAAAATAGCTGTTTTCTATGTGAATATATTTTCAAATGTAATTTATTTCTGTAATGCGCAGCTGAATTTTCAGCATCATTACTCCAGTCTTCAGTGTCACATGATCCTTCAGAAATCATTCTAATATGCAAGAAACATTTCTGATTATTATTAATGTTGAAAACAGTTGTTGCTACATATTTTTGTAGAAACCGTGACACTTTTTTTTCAGGATTATTTGATAAATAAGTTCAAAAGAACAACATTTTTTAAATAGAATTTTGTATAACATTATACATAAATATCTTTACTGTCACTTTTGATCAGTGTAATGCATCCTTGCTGAATAAAAGTCTTAATTTCTTTCAAACAGACAAAAACAAACTTACAGACCTTAAACTTTTGAATGATAGTGTACTTTTTCAAAATAGTAGCTTGTATTAGTAAATAGTAAATAGTAGCTTTATATCATGAATAATGAAACTTCACCAACACTGGTATTCATAGTACTACGAGTATGCTCCGCCTCCCAGGAAAACAAGGCCAGCCGTCTCCAAGACATTGAAAAGTGACAGTTCTGGAGTATCTAGGACAGCGTTTTGATTAATTAGCCACATTGCTGCTGTTGTGTGTTGTGGCATTTTGTGAAAGTTTAAAATAGGCCCGTAATTAATCAGCAGGGGCTGCAGGACGGATAGAAGAATGACGTGTGAGAGAAAGGCCAAGGCGGGATCGGCCCGGCGCAGGCGTGGGTATGACAGATGGAGATTACATGCTGAACTTCAGTTCGACATCGCCGGGAGCTTCCGCTCGCCATTACAGGAATCATCAGTTAGCTTGTATTGACATTCCATTACGGTGAGCAAACAGTGGAGTTCTGCCCCGTACTGCCTGTGCAGGTCATTACGTCTGACTCCATGAGGCCCGCCGAGCTCTTTATACCCCGAGCACTTTGTCACGGTTGGAGTTTGGGACGTACCATTACTCTATGTGGCCTGTACCATTGTTTTTGATGTTGGAGATGATGCCTCATGAGGTGTTTACACAAAATCAATTGATGGCTTCATGTTTCCTTCCTCTAAAGCATGCTCATGCTGGAAGACTTTGAAACCTAGTCGTATTATTGTTTGTAGTTGGTTTTTGTACTGCTGGATGCTCTTAACGGGATCAGTGAAATAAGCAGGTGGTCATAACATTAATCCAAGATGATCTTATATAAAATGAATATAACTATACACAAACTCAATGACAATATGTAAGAATAATAAATATATTTGAATATAATAATACATAATTAACATCACTGAGAGAAATAGAGAAATAATGTAAATTTTATATATTGTGTGTGTGTGTATATATATATATATATATTTAATTAATAGTAATTTGTGCATTTAGCAGACGCTTTTATCCAAAGCGACTTAAGGTGCATTCAATAATAATAATAATAATTAACATTTTTAAATATGAAATAGGTTTCATATTTATAAGTCATGTATACATTTTATATGTCATGTATAATTATATTTAAAAAATACATTTAAAAAAGCTCATTCTGTTTTAATATGGAATCAGATTTCTTGCCACTATGAACATTTTGCAGAGGAAAGTATGTTGAATATAAATTATGGCAGTGCATCATATCATGAACATGATTATCAATGCATGAATCAAACTCACTTTGATTCCTTGCATATTTTCCATGCTTTGCTGTTTTTTTTTGCCACACTTTCCATGCTGCCACGCTTTTTATCTCACAGCAGACGGATCACATGACCTTTGCTGTCATTCCCATTGGTAGTTGTTGCATTGCTTTGCTGATCATTTGCATAGTTAATTTTTCTCTACTTTGTTGAATGCCCAGTGATCGCTCGTGTTTCTGCAGATCACCAGCTTTCATAGAAAATGCATGATTTTTGGTTTCTCTCTTGCAGTAAATCGCTGTCAGTGAATGTGAATTCCCATAGCGCTAGAAGTTTATCTGAACATACCACAAGTCTATGGCTGCACTCCAATTTGCATACTAATCTCATGTACTATATAGTACACATAGTGAGATTTTGATTAGTGTGTACCAAATCCTTGTATAAGGGTGTCTGGACAGTGTACTATTTCCAGTGCATTCTCCTTAAAAGCTTTTTCAGCTAATATTGCACACTAATATTGTTTTTTTCTATTGATTTTTGCAGTTTCAGAAACTGTATGAATCTAGAAGTTAAGTAATAATGAACTTTAAGGCACTGACTTTACCTATTAGTCTTGATGATGGGTGTAGGCAGCACGCAAGTGAGTCTCCATCCAAATGAAGCCAGCGACTGCAGCAGGGGAATATAGTCTGTCTTCACTTGTAAACCCTGAAAAGAAAAGAGGTTACCGTGAAAAAATGCTTTCAAGAGAGAAAAGTCACACTTATAGCAAACAACTGATTTTAGACTTTCAATTGAAGTCTTAAGGCATATATTAAGACATTAATATCTCTGTTTAGATGCACCCTCTATTGCATCTGTGTGGCCGTTTTCTTTAGATACTTAATAGCAGTGTGTTTTTAATCATTCACATAATTACAAGTTTTTAAACGTTGACAAACACAATTTATATATTTAAAAAAAAAACTGTTTGTCGATATTTGGAAGTTTCATAATAAAGGATGTTTATGAATAAAATCGAAATAATTTAAATGTGTCATATACTGAGGACGTGGGTTTAGCATGATAGAAAACAAATCCTATTTACCATAGTTAACCATTCATTTACTATGGGTAAAAAGAAAAAAAAACTTTAATATCTGTTCTGGTAGTATAACAGATGTTAAAATAAAAGCTGTATTGTATGAAGAGCTCGTGAAGGTGTTTCTGTGGGATTCAGAGAGCAGCGTTAATCAAACAGGGTTGTTTTGAGCAGTTAGGGGTTGCACTGTGGTTTCAAAGAGAACGCTTGTACCCTCATTTCAGGAGGAGCATGCAGGAAGTCAGAGCGGTTTAATGGCACCTGTCCTCAAAAGGAACATGTCGCGTGTCAGCCATGTGCACACACTCATAATGATAACACAAGACAGCGCTACATGATAATGCTTCACTTGCAATAATATGCCATGGGTTTTGGCACGAATGCACTATACAGTTATACATGAGTCACTGTGGAAAGTTCAGAGTAGATAACAACATGATGACACTGGAGAGGCAGAATCGAAGGGTTCTCAGTGTAGAGGCTCTGTTCTAAAAACAGTGAGCTGACTTCCTGTCCACTGCCTACAGAGGCAGCAGCCTTCTAAGGCAACAACCGAAATAATAAGTGGCTGTTTTGGAAAACTTTCCATATGCATAAAAAGTACATGGTGCACACACAATCGTTGGGTAAAATTAGGTAGATTGGTTTAAGTATTATTATAATGGTTTTTGATGCATTCAAAAACTGTGCATAATTTTTTTATTATATTAAAATATATTTTAGATTATAATATCTATAATTGATACTTTAAAGAATTGAAAGTTTTTAATATGTATAATTTTTGTATATATATTTACTTTATTGAATATATATAGTTTTTAATTATGTAAACCATTATCATTCATTGTATTTACATTTTATTATTTGTGTGTGTATATAATAAAATATAAATATTATAATACTTTAAAAAATTGAAAGAATAAGTAATATATGTATATTTTTTAAAATACATATATCTTATTGATTAAATTATCAATTTTCATTTAGCCTACTGTATTTACAGTACATATTGTCATCACTTATGTATGTGTGTATATATAATAAAAAATAATATATTAGTACTTTTTAAAAATAGAAGGAATAAGTAATATATGATAAATGATTTTTAATTTATTGTATTTGCATATTGCCATCAGTTGTCGTGTTTGTGTGTGTGTATATATACTGTATATATATATACTGTACAAAAATTTCCTGTAGAAATTACAGTAACTTGCTGGCAGCAGTTCGCCAGTAACTTACTGTAAATTAAACAGTAAAAATACTGTATTAATATTTACAGTACCGTTTAACTTGCTGTAAATTTATTTACAGTATGTATACTGTACTTTTACCGTTTTTACTGTAAAATATACTGTAATTTTATGGCCTTTTCTCCAGTAACATATTGAAATACAAGAAAAAAATATGTAGCTTTTATTTTGGCAGGTTGCCGGCAAGTAAGTATATGCACTTCCGGGTTTAGCGCTGCCGACTGAAGCGCGTCAGTGAATGAAATGTCACAGTTTTGCATTGTGCTTTGAAAACGGCAGCGGGTAGCCTAGATTTATTTATTCGGTTTGAATAAAAAGCTTATGTATTACAGTTTGTCGATCTAAAATGGTAATTGTGCAGTAACAGCTGTCAACCATGTTGGTACGTAAATGCCCTGTCAGAACTTATTTACACAGAGCATTTTTTATTTGGTCGCACATGCGCACCTGCGTACCACTTATGTGCACCCCTGTGTATATATATATATATATACACACACACACAGTATTGAATTTACTTTTTTCTCACAATGCATTGTGGGAATGCCCTCTGTGTGCAGAATACATGTGATGCTGCCTAAAAATCAGCCTACACAAACACTCAAACGCTGCACACATTGGTTTTGGGACAGAGCCAGAGTCTTAGTTTAGTCCTTTGTGGAGGTTTTGTTTCAACACCCTTCCTAGTTATGAAGCCCTTTTGCCCAGATTGGATGACATTGTTGTGGGTCGTGCGTTGAGACCTCAGAGGCCCAGGTTTCTGTTGCAATGGTTTTTGGGTATTTGCGTTGGCCAAGACCACAGCGGCAGCCTTTGGGGAATCCAGATATGTGAGAAGAGGTTTTTGTTGGAAGCGGTCCCAGTAGTGAACATGATAATGCTTCACTTGCAATAATATGCCATGGGTTTTGGCACGAATGCACTATACAGTTATACATGAGTCACTGTGGAAAGTTCAGAGTAGATAACAACATGATGACACTGGAGAGGCAGAATCGAAGGGTTCTCAGTGTAGAGGCTCTGTTCTAAAAACAGTGAGCTGACTTCCTGTCCACTGCCTACAGAGGCAGCAGCCTTCTAAGGCAACAACCGAAATAATAAGTGGCTGTTTTGGAAAACTTTCCATATGCATAAAAAGTACATGGTGCACACACAATCGTTGGGTAAAATTAGGTAGATTGGTTTAAGTATTATTATAATGGTTTTTGATGCATTCAAAAACTGTGCATAATTTTTTTATTATATTAAAATATATTTTAGATTATAATATCTATAATTGATACTTTAAAGAATTGAAAGTTTTTAATATGTATAATTTTTGTATATATATTTACTTTATTGAATATATATAGTTTTTAATTATGTAAACCATTATCATTCATTGTATTTACATTTTATTATTTGTGTGTGTATATAATAAAATATAAATATTATAATACTTTAAAAAATTGAAAGAATAAGTAATATATGTATATTTTTTAAAATACATATATCTTATTGATTAAATTATCAATTTTCATTTAGCCTACTGTATTTACAGTACATATTGTCATCACTTATGTATGTGTGTATATATAATAAAAAATAATATATTAGTACTTTTTAAAAATAGAAGGAATAAGTAATATATGATAAATGATTTTTAATTTATTGTATTTGCATATTGCCATCAGTTGTCGTGTTTGTGTGTGTGTATATATACTGTATATATATATACTGTACAAAAATTTCCTGTAGAAATTACAGTAACTTGCTGGCAGCAGTTCGCCAGTAACTTACTGTAAATTAAACAGTAAAAATACTGTATTAATATTTACAGTACCGTTTAACTTGCTGTAAATTTATTTACAGTATGTATACTGTACTTTTACCGTTTTTACTGTAAAATATACTGTAATTTTATGGCCTTTTCTCCAGTAACATATTGAAATACAAGAAAAAAATATGTAGCTTTTATTTTGGCAGGTTGCCGGCAAGTAAGTATATGCACTTCCGGGTTTAGCGCTGCCGACTGAAGCGCGTCAGTGAATGAAATGTCACAGTTTTGCATTGTGCTTTGAAAACGGCAGCGGGTAGCCTAGATTTATTTATTCGGTTTGAATAAAAATCTTATGTATTACAGTTTGTCGATCTAAAATGGTAATTGTGCAGTAACAGCTGTCAACCATGTTGGTACGTAAATGCCCTGTCAGAACTTATTTACACAGAGCATTTTTTATTTGGTCGCACATGCGCACCTGCGTACCACTTATGTGCACCCCTGTGTATATATATATATATATACACACACACACAGTATTGAATTTACTTTTTTCTCACAATGCATTGTGGGAATGCCCTCTGTGTGCAGAATACATGTGATGCTGCCTAAAAATCAGCCTACACAAACACTCAAACGCTGCACACATTGGTTTTGGGACAGAGCCAGAGTCTTAGTTTAGTCCTTTGTGGAGGTTTTGTTTCAACACCCTTCCTAGTTATGAAGCCCTTTTGCCCAGATTGGATGACATTGTTGTGGGTCGTGCGTTGAGACCTCAGAGGCCCAGGTTTCTGTTGAAATGGTTTTTGGGTATTTGCGTTGGCCAAGACCACAGCGGCAGCCATTTGGGAATCCAGATATGTGAGAAGAGGCTTTTGTTGGAAGCGGTCCCAGTAGTGAACTCCGCAGACTTAAAAGCGGAGGAGAATTGAGAAAATGTGGTCTGTTTAATGGCTTTCCATTGCTGCGCGACTGTGTGAACATCTAGATGATGTTAAAGTGCTACACTCTTTCTACATGGAGGTCAGTGAAATAGAGCAGAACCAAGACTCCTCACGAAAAAGAGTCATAAAGTCAACATGAATGTCAGCTTTTAGCAATATGGCACATTTCAGAGAAAATAGATGATTCATTTGAAAAAAAAAAAATGTTGGCAGAAACGTCATCATATTACATCAGTAATTGATTAGATTGTGAAAGAGAGAATGGAGTCAGGTGGTTTGTCTTGATTTGACGTGTCTTGTTTATTCTATTGTTATTTTATTTTTTTCATTGAAAATTGGTTGTTCTTTGTTGTTTTAATGTTTATTGGTTGTTTTTATATGCTGCAAACGGGACTATCATAGTGAATTTTGTCTACGTCCGATGAGGAGAGTTTGAGGAAAGGCAAGAGGGGGATGATGATGTCAATCAGGATGGAAAATTGTTTCAGAAGTGGAGCAACTTTAAATGAAAGATTATCAATCTTAACATGCATGAATAATTTACAATAAGACCAAGAATGTATATTCAGAACATACTGTATACAGGGTAAATTGTGATTTTGTTGACTTATAAGCTGATGTGTGATTTTATTTATTTATTTGTTAATGTACAGTCTTTTTTTATTTATTTA